ATATAAATATGATACCTTGTAGTTTGGTTACAAGAGGAAACAATAAAACTCCCTAATGTGAGGCCAGTGAAAACAGAATATTTAAAATACCATTCCAACGTTTAAGTTTCTTTTAAATAAATCAATATTTTTTTTTCTTCAGCAAGGATACATTAAATTGACAAAAAAAAATCTATTTCAAATAAATGCTGTTCTTTTGAACTTTCTATTCATCAATGAATCCTGAAAAAAGTATGACGTTTCGACAAAAATAAAAGGCACAACTGTTTCAACATTTCTAATAATGAAAAATGTTTCTTGAACACATTAAAATGATTTTTGAAGGATCTTGTGTCCATAAGAGACTACTTTTATAAATATTAAAAATCCAAACTTTTGAACATTAATGTAATGGCATAATAAAATATAAAGTTGCATAATATTATAATAAATATTATTTTATGGTATTGTTATGTGATTTACTTAAACAGCTCAAAACATTGTACACAACTGTCATAATTGTACTGTAATTCATTATATGTTTCTTTAATCAAAGATCTCAGTGAATCTTTTACTGACTGCACTTTTAAATCATTAAATCGTATAAAAATAAATGTGAATAAAACATAAATAATGTGAATAAAAATTAAATGTGTACCCTACTTAATGTTTATTCTGTTACAAGAAATTCCCACTGAAGCATTTCTTTGGATCAGTAATTGTCTCCCCATTTTTACCAGAAAATGTATTAAAACAAGCATTCAAACAGACAGTTTAAATTCAATAAAAATGCTATTCAAGTTAGTTTCAGTCTCACACAAAACGCCGCCACCCACATACACTGCTGTTTTTTCACACTTGTCTTAAATGGCTTGCTGAATGCATGACACAACAGCTGAAATAAGGTCAGCGTGTTTATGTCTCCGTCCAGACTGATGGCTGTCTAGCTGACACGTGAGAGACATCAGAGCGGCGGGAGCCTTTAATCAGACCAGCGACCCGCTCATCAGCTCACACAGAACAGCATTCCCCATGAGATCAGACCATGAGCTTACTCTCCAATTTACCGCAGTAGCACCAGAGACTCTGGGGTCAAACCTTTCAGAGACCGAAACACACACACACACACACGAACAGTGACAGCCCTGTAATCATATCCATCTAATGAGTCAATCATGTTTAAATAGTGAAAAGTATAAGCAATGCACTTGGACTTTCGAGTGTGAATCCAGTGCAATAATTCTGTTTATGCTATAACTGATGTTTGCACAAGACCAGCATGTATCATTAAAGTTTTAATCTTTATAAGTGTAACAAACACCTGCACATATCAAATAACACCATCATTCAGATGAAGGGATAAAGAATGTCATGGCATTTTCCAACACGCTCTCCAGCCCTTTAATGTGAGTCAGTATCCTATTAGGCCTTGATGTGGGCTGTAAGAGGTTTGCAGTCCTTCACCTGCTATTGAAGACAACTTTTATCTAACGCAGTTATCACATGGCCTTTGTCAGAAGCCTGCAAACTGCACGAAAACTGAAAGACCACAGAGCTAGGACGGAGAATATGTGAATAGATTTGAACTGTGATTTCAAATCTAAGGAAATAGAGACAATAGCGACTGACATTGTGACCTTTAAGGTGCAAAGATGTATCGGTTAAAATGCTGCGACTTAATCATTGGTTCACTCTCAAAAATAAAGGTTGTTAATTGGCATCTGTGGTCCCATGAAGAACCTTTAACATCCATATAACCTGCAGGTTCTTTATAGTGGAAGGCGTGTCTTCAGATTATCAAATTGTTCTTCACACCAAGAAAAAAAAAAGTGGTTCTTTTAAGAACTGTTCATTGGAAGGTTCTTTCGGGGAACCGGAAATGGTTCTTATATGTCATCACTGTGAAAACCCCCTTTTGGAACCTTTGTTTTTAAGTGTTGTAATGCAAAATGAATACACAGAGGTTCCAAAAGGGGGTTTTCACAGTGATGCCATAGAAGAACCATTTCTGGTCCCCCGAAAGAACCTTCCAATGAACAGTTCTGAAAAGAACCATTTTTATAGTGGGAAGAGCATTTTAATAATTTTTACAGAACCTTTTGTGCAACAAAAAGATTTGATGGATGTACAATGATTTTCATGGACCCATCAATGCCCATAAAGAATTTTTATTTTTAAGAATGTAGGCTATGAAGGGACAAACATGACTCCAGCCAGCTAAAAATCCAAAACAAATAGTAAAACCAGGGGGATTTCACTATCAGTTTGCTAAAAGAGAGAGACTTTCTGTTCTTTCTTTTATCTAAAATAGAGTCATTTTATCCATCACCATTAGCCGTCATGTTGCAGATCAAGTGGGATTGAGAAACAATCACGTAGGCAAAATATGTCAACATGGGATTGTGGAAAGACAATGAAGTTGAACATTTTTGTGTAGGGAGTATTACCAGAAATCTTTGCTTTACAATGTTTATGGAATCTCTCAAATAAAAGAGATGCATGTTTCCAAGCCACTACATTCCCACTGAATCTTTGGGATGGTAAACGTCCCTTTGTACCCTCATTGACTCTCCACGTGTACGGGCAGGTCAGGAGGTAATTCATCCGCCTTTAGAGGGGATTACTGAGTGCTTCAAGTTAAACGCTTGAGGTAAACACACTTCTCTGCTGCTCCTCTCTGATCTCTCTGTTGCAAAATGTGTCACAGTGTACAAGGGAGGTATTTTCCAGCATACTGTGAACTCACTCATTAGCACAGTGGGACTTCTCTGCTTGAACCCCTGTGCAGACCGAATGTAAACACATTGATACCAACAATCAAAGCTTTGATATTAAAGTGCCATCCAAGAACACGAGTGCAAATTGAAATGTAAATACTGCTTTTTTTTTAGTTCACAGCTGAACAACGTAAATTGTGTGGTTATGACATTATTTAATTGCGGAGTTATAAAATCAGGTATGCAAATCTGTTATTCTGTTTTTCACAAAGCATGCTGATGCAAATAATCCCTCCCATATTATTTCCTTGATAATGTTATCAATTTCCCTTTTTTCAGTCAGGTATCAATGCTAAAACAAATTCATATCTGATATATGAAATGTAAACACATTACCCTGAGGTATGAAAATGACAATCTGTGACTCAACCGATATACTTCTATCACACTTGTTTATAATGATTATGGGGCAGACTTAAAAGAAAAGATCTCTTTCACTAGATTTATCTATTCTGTGCTATGTCAAAAATTATCACAGTAAAATCGCTATCAACTTTTCAATGCAGTTTCTCAGAGCAGTTTTCTCAAGCATGAACCGACATTAGACAGACGTAAATAGACAACTAAAGTGCTAAAAACGGTTATGGTGGTTAAGAATTAAAAAAACAAATACACTAGCCATGCAATTTTTACAGTGTAGCAATACGACACTATAGTTGTGTGTATAGAAGTTATTTCTATTCTCTATAAATGTCGGCCGTGAATTTAGCTCAAACAGTATCTTACATGTTTAACTTATTTTCTTTGCATTGCAACACTGGAGATGCCCAAACAAAACATTATCTGCTGGATTCCTGGATTCATTGAGTGATGTAAGAAAAGAGTTTAATTTCATCCCATACTTACTAACTTGTATATTAAGATTATATATATATATATATATATATGTATATTAAGATTATATATATATATATATATATATATATATAAAATTCTACATATAGCAATATATCAGTGTGCTTAATTCAAACAATAGAGACTCAGATCAATACTGATCCATTAAATGCAGCACCAACAATTTTAGGATTATTTACAAAGAGTTGAAAATATTCTATAACAGCATGGAATCTCTTGGAAAGAACAAAAAAAAACCACAGTAAACAGTTACTCCATCTAGTGGCAAACCATTTCAATCTTTAACTGACCTTTATACAGCCTACAGAACCAGACAAATGCAAATCAGTATTAAACTATATTTATTATATACAGTAGTAAATGGCCAACACAGGATCTTCTGCTCTCCCAAACACCCCTGCCATTCCCATTACAACACTCACACATGCTGATTTGGCATGAGTTCAATGTGGATTCGCAGTTACACCAGGAGTGTTTAATACTCTTGATATGCCAGAAAGGCTAAATGAGAGTGACTTTACAATAATCACATTTGTAGAAAGGGCAAACTATGAGACAATAAAATCAAAGGGAACACTTAATTTGTATCTCATGAAATTCATACTCAAGCAAACAGCAAACTTCTAAAGACATATGCATCAAAGCTTTTAAAATTAAAAATGGCTAACTGTATTCAACAAACAATCTAGCTTTATCAAACCTTGAGGTGTCAGAAAAATACAATGCTGCAATGTCAACAATTGAAACGGTTCATAAAAAGGGTGTCTTGAAGTTTAGTTTACTGCCATTTAAGAAAATCTGAGACCATACTAAGAAACCACAAACATCCGTTTCCTCCTTGTATATAAAAATAGATGGGGGAGGTACAAACATACATAATACAACAGGCATACAATGAACTCCAAAGGGGGGAGGGGGGTGTCAACATTACTAACTGTCATTTCCAGTTTAGTTCAGGGAGAACATTGCAAAAATGGAAATGAGGTCTTTAGATGATTAAAAATGGAACCAAAAATAAAATAAAATTAACAAACAGATTAGATTTCCAAAACCTTTTCAATTTCAGCCCTGAACTGCAGCGGAAGTGAAGAAGAGCACAAATAAACCAGCTTCATTCACATGTGCTTCATCTTTAGCAGGCTCCTCCAGTCTGCTGCTGGAATACGTCGATAGTGTCTTCATCTTCCATTTCCAGCTGAAAATTCACACGAAAAGATTAATTGAGAAACTTTCTCCATCCGAGGCCTTATAACAATTTGTGTGTGCCAAGCTCCAGGTTTGCAAATACACTACGATAAATGCAATTTCCTTGAATTTGTTCGTATGGATAGCTTAATTTTTTTGACAGAGACTGCATCATTATCCAAAGGGGGGAGGGGGGGTGTCAACATTACTAACTGTCATTTCCAGTTTAGTTCAGGGAGAACATTGCAAAAACGGAAATGAGGTCTTTAGATGATTAAAAATGGAACCAAAAATAAAATAAAATTAACAAACAGATTAGATTTCCAAAACCTTTTCAATTTCAGCCCTGAACTGCAGCGGAAGTGAAGAAGAGCACAAATAAACCAGCTTCATTCACATGTGCTTCATCTTTAGCAGGCTCCTCCAGTCTGCTGCTGGAATACGTCGATAGTGTCTTCATCTTCCATTTCCAGCTGAAAATTCACACGAAAAGATTAATTGAGAAACTTTCTCCATCCGAGGCCTTATAACAATTTGTGTGTGCCAAGCTCCAGGTTTGCAAATACACTACGATAAATGCAATTTCCTTGAATTTGTTCGTATGGATAGCTTAATTTTTTTGACAGAGACTGCATCATTAATGAGATCTGGAGCTGATTAAATATTAGAGCCCGACCGATATGGGTTTTTTGGGGGCCAATGCCGATACTAGGGAGTAAAAAAAGACCGATATCGATATATCGGCCGGTATTCTTTGTGTAGGCTATATTATAGTACAGTATAATCAAAAGTTTGGACACACTTCCCATTCGTGTGTCCAAACTTTTGACTGGTACTGTATATAGAATACAGTATATAGCCTACATAAACAGAATATATATACATAAACATCTTTTGCAATGATAACTCAAATGTGGTGATCAAACACTTATAATGATGTGACAAACATAGGCCTATGTAGTGGAGGCAGGGTATTTAACAATTTAACAATAAACTTTATTATTCAAAATGAGTCTGACATAAGTGCACATAACAGTAAACTTCACTTATTATAAATAACTTAACACAAATAGAACAAAATATATATAACTTGAATTAAGAAATTAAACAAGGTAACCGTGTATGGCAAGCAAGCTACTGCCAAACCAACAGGGGCAGGTTTATGCAGGAAACACAGCTTTTCCAAATGGGAACATCTAAAATGAATAAATAATAATAATATTTTTTTTTTCTTCACAAACTCTGTGTTGTGTATTTTCTGGTAATCAAATGAACATGCAAAACATTCGTATTTAAATAGTCTTTTTGCAGTTTAATATTCACAGACAATCTATATATATGTACTGACCTGTTTTTTATTTATTCATCAAAAATAAGACAAATTCCATTAAATTCCGCGTTATACAGTAAATTCCGTTTTTATGACTGGATTCCACGATGTGAGATCGCGGATACACGATATTATCTTACTAATTTATTTAATTATTTACTTACTTAGATTCATAGCCGGAGAGTGAACCAACTCCAGGGTACGGCTAAAATCAGCCTAATGTTAGGATGTCATGTCATAAAATATTTTTAATATGACTGAATTTGTATTTAACATGATAACAATTGAATAGAAACACTGTAAGTTACTAATTATAATGCTTACATTTACGCAGTTATTCAAACAGCAGCTACAGAAAACAAGCAAAGAGTATTTACATTATCAAAGAACATCATCACTGACTTCAGTATAGCAGTTTCTAGAGTTTATGCACTTTAAAAAACACGTTAAATTACCATTCAACAGACACAAGCCACCACCGCACTGCCGTCTATCGGACTGCAGAAAGATACTAACTTTTCAATCTGTTACGCCGCAACATCTGCCGGGATCTGCAGATCAGCTCTAGTCTCTAACGTCACTGAATCTGCTGTTAAAAATGAGCCATTCATTCATCATGCAAAACTAAGAATTAGAATCATTGTAATGTGACGATCAAATATAGGTGCGGGTGGGTGGCGGGCGGATAATTTGAAGCAGCGGACTAAGGTGAAGTTTGAGCTCATCCGCGCATCTCTACACTGACCTGGGTCGTCAGTAGCAAACAATGGAGCGCGCTCTGCTGGACAAACTAAGTAACTACACCATTCAGAAGCATTTAATCTGCATTATATGTTCTGTAAAAAAAAAAATTCCATCGGCGGCATATTCGCCGATACCGATATATCGGCAACAGGCTCATATCGGCCGATAATATCGGCTAAACGATATATCGGTCGGGGTCTATTAAATATTACTGAACACAACTAGGAGTAGGACTGCAGTCCCCATAGCAAGAAAGCATACATAAATGTTTATTAAAGAAATAGTGTGGATTGTGATGTTTTTTTTTTTTTATCAGCTGTTTGGACTCTCATTCTGACGGCACCCATTCACTGCAGAGGACCCATTTGAGTGCAAGGTCTGTAATGCTAAATTTCCACAAATATGTTCTGATGAAGAAACACACTCATCTACATCTTGGATGAGGCCTGATAGTGAATACATTTTCAGCAAATTTTCATTTTTGGGTGAACTACTCCTTTAATCAGTTAAAGGGATAGTTAACCCAAAAATGAAAATTTGATGTTTATCTGCTTACCCCCAGGGCATCCAAGATGTAGGTGACTTTGTTTCTTCAGTAGAACACAAACGAAGATTTTTAACTCAAACCGTTGCAGTCTGTCAGTCATATAAATGGCAGTCAATGGGCTCCACGGCTTTGAGAGTAAAAAAACACCGACAAAACCAAATTAAACCCTGCGGCTCGTGATGATACATTGAGGTATTAAGACACAAAACGATCGGTCTGTGCAAGAAACTGAACAGTATTTATATAATTTTTTTACCTCTGATCCACCGCAATGTCCAACTGTCCCGAACGCGTTCATAATATCTGGAGCGTGTACGTGCTCTGGCATAGTCGACGCATGAGCGGAAGCGATCTGTCACATATATACGTCACTCATTGGATGTTGGGAATGTGCTCAGGACAGTTGGACATTGCGGTGGATCAGAGGTAAAAAAATTATATAAATACTGTTCAGTTTCTTGCACAGACCGATCGTTTCGTGCCTTGAGACCTCAATGTGTCG